CCCTCAGGACATGTTGGGGATCACCCTGAGGTTCAACAAAATTGGTCCAAATTTTCTACATCTTAGCTATTCTGCAGCCTGGGACTAGTGTTGCAGGGTCTGCTTGGCAGGAAAGAACATTAATAGCTATGGAATTGTGTCCAAGACTCTTATTTTGCTCTGGGCAACAATCTTCTCATCAGTAAAATTGGGGGATTGGATTAATCTCTAAATTCCTGAACACCTTTAACAGGCATTGATTCCAGAGCCCAGAAGGAGATTTATTGCCAACATCATCTGTCATCCTGTGAGATCAATTTCATGTGGTCAGTGTCACAGGGAGAAGAAGGTAAAGTGTGAATTATAGTGTCTGACCAAATGCTCCTTCACTCCATCAGAGATCCTGGCTCTGTGCCTTTCCCAGTCTCCACAGCCTCCTCTCATGGCAGGGACTCCAGCTACAGTGAGCCAAGGAAGAGTAGAAGAAAACAAAGCAAGAAGAAGGGGACTGACTGCAGTAACCTAACAGACCCCGACACATATAAGAAACAGCATGGTGGCTGAAACCACACACCATCAAGCTGGCCCAACCACCTCAACCTTCGTTCTTGCCACTGTCTAGCTGCAGGATCCCACACAAATCACTTGTCTCTTTGAATCTCAATTTTCTCGTCTGTAAAATAGGGATTCAAAATAGTATCTTCCCCATTAGGGTAGCTGTGAGGGCTAGATGTGCTTACAACTATAGCTGGCAAATAGTAATATTGTTATTATACTTAAATTCTTTGACCCAAAGAATGATCCTCTACTAAATGGGACAGCTTTGCCATGGGAAGGACATAGCAATGAGACAGGAAATAAAGAAGATGCCTGGGATGAACTTCTTCCCTCTCCAAAGATGGATACAGAGCAGAAGAGTCCCAGATGCTGCTGTTAAGATTAAATTGTTTGAAAATACAAAGTAAACAATATGGCTCAAGCAAGCCATTATTGTCAACACAGTTACCTGTTTCGAAAATTCACAAAAACACTATTTTCTCTCAACAAATGCCTCTACATTATTGGACCTGTTGCATGTCTACTGAATAGTTGCGATTGAGGTTTAAAACGATGTTCCTACCATAAAGTGTCAGTCTTTTCTGGTATAATCTATGGAATAAGTGAGCCTCAGTATGGCTTACTGTTGGTGTTCTTTAATGCAACATTATTTTTAGGCATTTGAAAAACTTCAGGTGAAACTTATGCCTGTCATGGGCAGCTGTCATTTTTGTCTGCTTTGTTTCCATCCCCTGTTCTCTGGGGAAAAGGACCCTATTCAACTGGAGAGCTGATTCTTCCAAATTCAACCAAGTGCTCTAATGGGGGCTATCACTCATGACATCTTGGACCCACACAACTCATAATAGATGGACACAAGACCCAGAGTTTGGTTAGCCGTGGCCTCTCACTCTCTGAGCCATACACATTATTCAAAGCATGAATATGTGACCCAAACTGGACCAATCTAAGTGCTTCCCTGGGGTTTCTCAAACTGGTGTTGGGTGAAGGACAGAGAAAGAGGGAAAAATGTTCTGTCCCCATGATCATGGGGCTGCTTGCATGGACACCTTCATCAGTATAGAAAGTCAGTGAGAGTGAAACCAGAAAGAAGTGGAGACAAAAGAGGAAAGGAGAAACCCCAGAAGAATCCCATTCCTTGTTTCTTGGGGATCTCACCCTCTCTGATGGGTGGCTATGTGAGCCATTGCATTTCTTTCTTAGTCCAAGATGGTTAAGGTGGGTTTATGACAGTTGTAGAATAAGAGTGTCCATCCATCCATCCATCCATCCATCCATCCATCCATCCACATGCCCACTCACTTTTTCAGTAAATTAATATCTACTGAGAGCTGATCGTGTGTTGGGTTATTTTTCCAGGCATTGTTTTAAGTGCTGGAGATAATACAGTGAACAAAACAGAGCCTAATCATTCTGAGACATTCTATCTAGTAAGGAAGGCAGACAAAAACCAAATACATAATATAATAGATAGTCATCCATGCTAACAATGAAAATGAAGTAGGATCAAGGGCATAGAGATGGATGGGGCATGGGCAGAGGGTCAAAAAGGGTCTCTCTCAGGAGGTGATATTAGGCAGAGTCCCAAATGAAGTGAAGGAACAAGCTGGACTGAAGACGTGATATAAGAGTTCTTGGTCAAGAGAGAGCAAGTGCCAAGTTCATGTATCTTCAGACAACTGAACTGACTCGCTACCCCTGAGGACCGAGGGCATGGTAATCACCTGTGCTGCAGTGAGACTCAGCCTGGTAGGATCTGGTCCAGTCAGATAGACTTGAACTTGAAATCCCCACCTTGGCCACTTCTGTGCTTGGTGAAGGTATAAGTTACCTAAATGCCTGAGCTCAATTTTCACACAAGTAAAATGATGGTACAAAGTCTCCTTCATTAAGTCATATATTTATTCATCCAGTAAATATTTGGGGGGGACAGCTCATACCACAGGCACAGCATCAGCTCATGGCCATGAGTTTTATAAAACTTAATGAAGACGACCTAGGAAAAGTGTTCAGATCCTAGTAAGCACACAGCAGAAACTGGTTCTGTTGCTTCTGTTTAGCCTCAGAATCACAGATCCTGAGAAGCATAAAATGATCAAAGCCAGCCTCCCAGCCATTGTAGGAAATCACCAGGGCCTAAGTTCCGCGAACAACCAACACAGCTCTCTCCTCGAGACTAGAGAAACTCATCTCTCTGTTGACCCTTTGGGATCAAGCAACAGCTTTACAAGCAACTATGGACTTGAGCTCTTTCCAATAAACTGACATGATTTATTTGTCTTACCCCAATGGAGAACCAAGATATGTTAAGTCACAGAGAACAGAACACTTTCCTTGGCCTGACACATGAATGGAGGTGTGGCCCACCTATGCTTGGAGGGGGAGGTGAGATGAACTCCAATCTTATTCTGGCTATTTAGAAAAAATAATAAATAAGACCAAAGCACCAGTTCACTGGTGGCCTGTTGAAGAAGTTAGCACAAAGGTGGACAATGACCATTGGCAAGTATTTATCTAATGCATGTGTACACCACTCACCATTCTCTCTCCTTGCTCCCTGCCATCCTGGATAAAGGAGTTGATGCCTGTGTCGACAGTTCCCCCAAACCTCCCCCGCCTTCTGGCACTGCAGCTAACATCACACCTGGTATCCCACCTGCCAATCCATCAGCCAACCTGTTTGCTGTTCAAACCCAAAATACTGCGCCTGAGCCCAGACGAGGGAGATTGTGTGGCTTACATAACTGACCTCATTCTTCCTCCCGGGGGAGGATGAGCCAGCAAAGAGTTGGCAACTCTAACTGTGAGAAATCATGAAATGTGTTTTCCCTCTGTACCTCTGGCAGGGCAGAGAGTTCTGGAGAGGGGCATGAGCAACTTGCTGAGATTCTAGACAGCCCCTTTCTGATAACTGGAGCAGCATCCCTAGCAAAGCCTCAGAATGCATTGACCCAAGCACCAATTAAGTTGGGAAGTGCACAATCCAGTGCACATGTGGTGTTTTGCACACACATTCTAATTTGGCTGAATGTCGTTTGTGTCTGCATAGAAAAGGCTCTCAGGTAGACATGATAATTCGCTTATAGTGTCAACACCTGCATGATTCAAAACCCTGTTGGTCATGAGACAAGGAGAGGACAAAAAGCACCCCTCTGGGAGTCCTGAGATCTGGATTATGTAATCCTGGTGCTCACGAGCTCTGCTATTTGGAGTTAGCCTGCCCTCTTCTTCGAAAAGCACCTTTGCTTAGACAGCTGTATCTAAGGGAGGCTATCTGAGGTGTCTTCTCGCTCTGCCTCTGGGAGCTGCTGCAGGTTCTCAGGCAAATGTCCCCTGATGTTGTCATTGTCAGTCATTCTTTCCCCCCTCAATGATCTCACCAAATGCCCCTAAGGTCCAAACCAGGTCCAGGCAAGAAACGCTCTTTCCATTTGAAAACACACACAAAGGAGACGGGGTCCGAACTGTGCTTCTACATGTGAGCTAACTGGGTTGTCTGTAACTGTTTCTTCCAAGAGGGATTACAGATGGGATGGGGCATCATGGGCCTCATTCAAGAGGATTTGACCCAGCTTCCCAAAGGCCACTGTCTTCAAGCGGGTCCAGTATAATGCAGCTCAGGGTCTTGCTACTCCCTCCCCCCAAATTTTCTCAGCTCCAGAAGGACAGCAGTTGAGCCTGGTGTCCAGGAGATGGATGCAAGCCCTCAGGAGTAGTTTCTCAACGTAAGAGATGAAATTACATCTATATTTGTATAAATAAATAAATAAATAAATAAATAAATAAATATAAATAAATAAAGGAAATTTGGGAGAGATAGGTTTTTCTTTACAACTAGGAGTCCCTAATCTCCCTGATACTGTGACATCTTCTTGAGAGGGAGAGAGAAGGGGCGGGGTACACAGAAGTGCTCTGAATCCAGAAGCCCAACCTGCCTCTGCAGCAGCCTGGAGTGAGCTGGGGTTTACTGGGGGTCATGAATGGTAGTCTTGATTCACTTTTTGAGGAGCCATCTGTGAACCCGAGAAGCAATACATAACGGAAATTACACGGTCTTCATGTTCAGACCTGACTTAGAATATCGGTCTTGTCACTCAGTAGCCGTGTGACACAAGGGGGATAACTCAGACGCTCTGAGCCTCAATATCAATCCACAAATGGGGGTCCTAGGGACTGTCTTACAGTGTGGCTTTGAGGACCTCATGAGACAACATATGTAAGGACTCCAGGCACAGCACCCTGTCCTGCTGACCAAGAGGCTTCAGTTATGATCACAAGTGAGTTGTCCTTGGGTAAATTAACATGAAAATGGCAGGGGAATATGGAGGTCAGCAATAGTTTGGGTGAGCCCCAAACTCGATTTCATGACCAGCATGCCGCCCAGGGTCCCTACGCCATACACAGCTGGCCCCTCTGTCCCGACATGGTGGTGGGATGAAGGGAATTCACGATCAGAAACGTACCTGGCTGCTGCTTCCAGCTGGTCTTTCCTAAGAGGGGACGAGAGAGAAAAACATAGAGAAAGTATAAATTGCATGAACAGTTTTGCCTCTCCCCACAATGGGCCCCAAAGCATCCCTTGATGAAGACGAAGGCACCCAGTGGAGTCTAGGATGAGGTGGTGAGTTAGCAGGGGAACCAGTGAATGAGCTGGCTTTCCCCAGCTGGACCCTAGGCCCCACCAAAAAGGCTTGGCTCTAATTTTTCGGGGTTCTTCCCAGCCATTCATTCATTTACTCACCCAGGGAATGGTTGCCAAGCACCTGCTCTGGCTCAAAGCTCAGAGCCTGGGCTCAGGAGATTTGTTTAGTGGTGGGGACAGACCAGGAAACCAGGAATGTTATCACTTAGTGCCATCCCCCATCACTCTGTCACCACCACATCATCACAGTTGACACCATGACCATCATTGCTATTATTTATTGAGCAATACTTATTAGGCAGATACTATTTTCAGTTCTTTTTATGGATTAACTCATTTAATTCTCGTATCAACTCTACAAGGCATGAAGTATTAGCATTCCCATTATCCTGTTGACAAAGCTGAGGTACCGAGAGGTTAAGAATGTTGCTCAAGGTCTCAGTCAAGAAGGAGCAGAGTCAGGATTCGAACCCAGATTGCTTGGCTCCAGAGCCCACCCTCCTAATCATGAGTGGTATGCACACATTCCAGACTCTCAGTCTTTGCCTGCACTCTGCCCAGAACAGCATTGCTCATCCTACAAATTCCAGCTAGAGGGGCCCCTTTCTGGAGTTTCTTATCCAAGTCCCCAGGGTCTAGGCTGAGCTAATCTCTTCACATGTGGGACTGTACTCTGATCAAACGGTATTCTATGAGCTGCTTGCAGCAGGGTCTCTGTCATTTTCAGCTTTGAAATCTGAGCATCCCATACATGGCACATGGGAAATGCATGATAAATGCTGAATGAATAAGTAGCCTATCCCTGGGATCTGGGGGTGGGAGAAATGGGGAGAAAATAAAAGGCATCATGGTGAAGAAGCAGAGGGACCAGCTGGGGGATTTCCAGCTCATGACTCAGCTCCCCTCTAGTCCCAGGTGGCCTTGGATGGGTCACACATCCCCTGGGCCCATCTCTCTACCTGAAGCATGTGCAAAGAAAACACTCTGCCTCTCTAGAATTCTCTGGGTGTCTGACTCTAAAAGTAGGAAAGCACTAAGAGAAGGAAAAGGTAGGGGGGTGGGTGGAGGGCGGGACCTGCACGGTGGTGCCGTGGGGAGCAGTGTTCAAGAGATAGGGCTCCTCCTCCCCACCACCATTCCCTTCTCACTCTCTAAGACAAGGATTCCACGCCTTCTCTATCATCACACTTCCTACCTCTCCCAGAAGGTGAGCCTTTCTTCCAGGCTATGACCTTGACTCACTTCTCACTAAGAGAGATCTGCCCCATGTCCCACCACCAAGTCGGCAGCCATGTACACCTGGCCTTGCCCACTATGCTTCCCCTTCTGTGCACATGGTTGCAGGGACCAGGCCCTGGATGCCAATCCTCCACCCGCACTTTAGAACCCATGCCTTCACCCTGGTGTGCCCTCCAGTCCCTCCCCCCACCCACACTGCATCCACTTCGATCCCTCTCCCCTAGATCCTTCCCATCAAGGAAAGAGCCCTGGCCTCACATTCCACTCCAGCTGTCACCTGCATTTGCCATCCCCATGTGCTCATTTCCACGTCACCCTTTGGTCCTTGCAGGCTGTCTTCTATGCCCATTGTTCCACTGAGATTGCTTTAGTCAAAGCTCCAACAATCTCCAAGTGATAAGCATCCAGTGGGCACTTCCCTGTCCATGTCTCCATCAACTCTGTCACATGCTCAGCACAGTTGACCCCTTTCTGTTCACTGTTATGTCCCCAGTGCCAAACACAGTGCCTTGCACATAAAAGAGGCTCAGTAAATACTTGATGGATGAATGGGATAAATAAATAAAAGATTTGTAACTCCATTCCAGACAGGGTGGTTTAGCCCTGTTGTCACTCATGAACAGTGGTTTCCCAGGACTATATTTGAGTGCTTAGTGTCTTTCTTTCCTGCTATAACATCTATACTTCCTTCCAGGCCTGATTCAACTAGTAGAGACTGAACACCTGCTCTGGGCCAGGTACTGTGAGAGGTGCTTCTACACATTCTATTCAATTTGACTTTCATGACAATAATCTTCAGAAAAGGGTATTATTATCCCAGTAACCCTTGTCTCATCTTAATTTTACCCAGTTTTCTTCCTAAAAAACTTTTTTCTTCCCAGAGATACAATGGGCTTTGGCATAAGGCCTGGGTTCTCATCTCTGTTCCATCACTTACTTAGAGGGGTGACATTAGGCAAGCTAATTAATCTCACTGATGCTCTGATGCTTCACCTATGATATTTGGGTTATAAAAATGGAGTTACTCCTTCTTCTTATCTTCCAGGGTATTCCAAAGATGAAATGAGATGGCATATATGGAAGCAGATCCATGTTACTTGGCCATGGGGAAGGATTGTTACATATACGTCCATCCCCCCACTTCTCCATTGGTGAGCACTCCAATAACCTTGATGTTGGTCATAAAAGGAACAAGTTCTGGTTATACAAAAAATTAACTGGATCTTCTTGGTCAAGTAACATCTACCTCTTGGGCCTAAGTCTTACCTTCATTTTAGTTCTAATATCTAATGATTGTCCAATATGGCAGCCACTAGTCATATATGACTAAGTTAAAATTAAATAAAAATCTAAAATGTAATTCCTCCGTGGCACTAGTAACGGATGCTCAAAAGCCACATCTGCCTACTGGTACCATATTAGACAGCACAGATGTACCATAGGTAATCCTACCAAAATTTAGGGAAGCAAATGGCATGCACATTCCCTGCTGATGGAAAGCAAAGGAAAAGCATTTAACACGTGGTCTTAAATGTCTTCCCTCATGTGTGCTTGCACGTATGAATGTACAATCTACCAACCCCTAAGGTTCTCGCTGTACTTTGTCAGACTCCCACTGTCTATTTGTACCAAGTGTACCCAGTCTCCACTGGTCAATGAATCAGTAGATCTAGGCGAGGTCTCAACGATGCCCAACATGATGTACAGCCTTGAGTCGGTTCCTGAACATCTGCAGGCCTCAGCTATTTCTCGTATTAAGTTGGGTTTGGACTTATAGCTCTCTGAATTTCCTTATAATTCGGAAACAATAAGTTTATAATTTTAATTAGTAACAGAATAAAAATAAAAAAGGATCACCATTATCCATCCACCGCTCCCCCTAAACATATATATCCTTGCAAATTCATGAAGGACTGCACTGAGCTGGAAATCCTGATATAGTACCACTCCCAGGGATGGGCTGCACAACTGCATCCTGCAAAGTCTTTGGGAGGAATGTCAAAGGAGGCCACCACCATGGAAAAACAGTCTGCCAGTTCCTTAAAAAGTTAAACATAGAGTTACCGATTCCACTTGTAGGTATAAACCTAAGGGAATTGAAAACTTGTGTCCACACAATGTGAACAGCAGCATAATAGCCAAAAAGTGGAAACACCCTAAATATGCATCACTTGATGAATAGATAAACAAAACAGGGCATCTAGAATAGAATAGTACTCATCCATATATAGGAAACAAGTTCTGACCTGGAGGAAATGTGAAAACATGCTAAGTGAAAGAAACCATTCATAAATGGCCACCTACTAAAAGGTTTCATTTTTATATAAAAAGTCCAGAATAGATAGTAGATTAGAGGTTGCAGAGGTGGGCGGCGGGGGGGGGGGAGCCTGTTCCTATTGGGACAGGGTTTCTTTCTTTCTGGGCCAATAAAATGTTCTGGAATTTGTGTGGTGATCTATGCCCAACTTTGCGAATATACTAAAAACCACTGAATTGTTCACTTTCAAAGGTACTTTTTAGAGTAAGTGAAACCCTCTTACAGTATGGGAAACACAACAAAGTTATTTTTTTATAAAAACATAAACAAAAGACAAAAAAACCTATAGGAGGTGGGTGAGGACAGATTGACCATGAAACCTATGGAATGGGTTGGGATTCAGGGACATTCTTTTCCCAAGGGACTGCCTTGTGGTTGCTAAGTGCATCTCTCTAATGACTTTAAACTTTTGTTCTTGAAGAAAGAAATAGAAAGAAGAAAGAAAGGAAGAAAGGAAGAAGAAGGAAAGAAGAAGAAAGAAAGAAAGAAAGAAAGAAAGAAAGAAAGAAAGAAAAAGAAAGAAAGAAAGAAAGAAAGAAAGAAAGAAAGAAAGAAAGAAAGGAAGAAAGGAAGGAAAGAAAGAGAAAGGAATCTTCTTTCTCAGCTTAAAAGCCATTCCCATATCACAGCAGCTGTCTGCAGCACAATGTATTCCTACAAGTCTCTGACAGCCAGGACAATGCCTTATTTATAATAAATCACCCCAAAAGAATGGGCCTCTTGCCAAGACCTTGGGCTGCACAGCAAATGGAAGTCATCTCGGTTCTGCATTCCGAGTGCTTGCACCTGCTTTTGCCTCCGAGTCCAAGGTCATTCTGCCCTTCTCCAGGGAGGCTCCCTGGCCCTGCAGAGACTCTTGTGACCCACAAGAAGACTGATGTTATCCCCAGCTGGAAATCATTATGACAAAAACAGAACTTTAGAATCAAAGGGAACCACAGAGACCATCTTCTGAGCCAGTGAATCTACTTGCAGGTGAGAAGACACAGTCCCTAAACCCAGATTCCATCACTTGTTTATGGAAGCCTTGATGCTTCTATCTCCCCAAGTCCTCTGCCATCCGCACCCCTCTCTGATTATTCTCTTTCTGGTCCAACCTCTGCTGCCCTTCCTGAGCTTCTACCTGGGTCTAAGCCCTGGCTGGCTCTCATCCTGAAAGCTGCGGTCTTTTGCTGGCTGATCTCTTTGCCTAGAATCTCGAGCCTGGCCTGTCCACCTCCATACCCTTCCTGTCATCTTCCTAAAACACAGATCTGATCATGTCATACTCGGGCCCAAATGGCTTCTTTTTGCCCTCGGGATCAAGGTTAGATTCCTCTGTAAGTCACTTGTGGCTGGTGGACTGGATGCCCTGAGTAAGAAGCAGCACCTGCCACTAGCAGTTCTGTAGGGGTGAGATGAGAGAGGCAAGCAGGGGCCTGAGCTCATGGGTCCCTGTCTCTCATGGTCAGGTTTCAGATCTTACTCTCTTTGTCACAGTCATGCATTGGAAAGTTTTATGCAGGGAAACGAGCCAGGGGAACCCAGATCTCTTGAATCTCCTTAAATCTGTGCCACAACCTGGTGATGGCGGTGAAGGGACTGAGTGTAGGTCTCAAGGTAAGTGAGTGGGAGGGTGGGCTGGGGATGGGGGGCGGCACTCGGCTAGTACTGGGTCACACTCTGGTCCATGAAACCACAGGTGTGTGGTGGATACACGCTTCAGAGCCCAACTCCAGGAAGCTCCTCTACGCTTCCTCCCAACCCAGGAGGTAGGGCGGCTTCACATTCCGTCCACACACTGTAAGTCCCAGCTCGGGAAAGAAGTATCTAAAGTCTGGAGAGGGGGGTGCCTGGGGGCTCGGTTGGTTCAGCATCTGCCTTCAGCTCAGGTTGTGATCCCAGGGTCCTGGGATGGAGTCCAGATGTTGGCTCCCTTCTCAGCGAGGAGTCTGCTTCTCCCTCTCCCTCTGCCCCTGCTTGTGCGCTCTCTCTCTCTCTCTCTCTCTCTTTCTCTCTCTCTCTCTCTCTCTTTCTCTTGCTTACTCTCTCAAAAAAATAAAATCTAAAACCAAACAAAAACCTGGAGAGGCATGAGGCGCGATCTGTTTTAGTAGCCCAAGTAGTGAACAGGCCATGGGTTTGGGGGCCTCTTAATGTGGCAGACATTGGCCAAAATGTCTGAAGTTTCTAAGCCCCAGCTCAGCCCCGCCAAGAGAGGACCCTGGTGACCCGACCTCGCAGCCTGTCTCCAGGAGCGACCCTGAGCCCTTCTGTGAGGCTAGCCCCGGGCTGTCCGTCCAAGATGCTTTACAAGGCCGGTGCCGTCGATGGGGCTACAGGCAAGTATAAGACCTGCACTTGCACAGCCATCTGCTGATTTTAAGGTACCGTAGTGTTTGAGATCCTCTGGCCTCTCAAATAGGGTGCCTGTGACGAGTGAATGCAAGATGCACTTGGAAACCTTGGGCGTATTGGGTATCCAGGGGCTACTAACTTCCCTCTTCCTTTTCACAGGTACTGGCTGTGGGCAGAGGGTTTTATTTTCTTCCTGAGGCCTTTAATCAACCTATAATCTTTATTTATTTATTTTCAAAAGAATTTATTTATTTATTTATTTATTTATTTATTTATTTATTTATTTATGAGAGACACGGAGAGAGAGGCAGAGACACAGGCAGAGGGAGAAGTAGGCTCCCAGCCAAGAACCTGATGTGGGACTCGATCCCCAGACCCTGGGATCACGCCCTGAGCCAAAGGCAGACGCTCAACCACTGAGACACCCAGGTGCCCCAATCTTTATTTATTTATTTTTTAGAGTTTTATTTATTTGAGAGAGAGAGAGAGCACACAAGCAGGGGGAGGAGCAGAGGGAGCTGAGCACAGAGCCTGCCACGGGGCTCGACCCCAGGACCCTGAGATCATGACCTGAGCCCAAGAGCCAGATGCTAAACCAACTGAGCCACCCAGGCACCCCTGAGGACTTGAATTTAATCTCCCACCAATAAGAACACAAAACAACCTCTCGGGGTCATTGGAAAATTTTTCTCACTACTACTTCTGCTTGCCTGTTCCCAGCATCCAGAAGAATCTGTGGGTACAGGCCACGGCCAGGTGTGGGGGGCACCCAGGGGGCTCACGAGGCCCACTGCGCTGGTTCCCCACTTCCTCAGACACCAGCTCTGCTCAAACAACGATCGGGGCCTTCCCTTCTCAGCCACGCCCTGCTGTCTAGCTGGCAATCCCTGGTGGCACACTGGAGTCACCTGGGGAGCTTTAAAAAAAACACAGATGTCTGAACCCCACTCTTGGGGTTTCTGATTTAATTAGCCTGGGTACACTGGGCTTTTTAAAGTCCCAGGTGATTCTAATAGGTGGCATCCGCTGGGAACCATGCCTTGCTCTCCAAGAAACTGTGAAGCCCACAGGCACAAATACAGACCCACCGGCCGACTGGTCAGTCACACCCGGAGCATTCAGATAGGTCGCCACTTGCCTGAAGAATGGAAAAGAGACGATTGATTCATAGAACCTCCATGTCGCCACAAGATCAATCCTATTGGGGTTGGTAGCATAATACCTCCAGGCAGCCTGAGGAGGAGGAAAGAGGGGCTGGAATGACCAGATAGCCCTGTGATACTCACACAGAATCCCACAATCTTAAAACGTGTGAAGCCCCGACTCCTAGGAGTTTAAATAGGCACTGAGGTGATATCCAGAGAAGTCAGGTTTCCTGGCTTCTTGTAGCTCCTTTGGGAAGAAATCCTTCCTGGAGCCATCATCTTGGAGCCCAACCTGGTACCGTGGGGGTGGGGAGGTGGAGAAACCCAGCGGAAGGAGAAACGGATGCTGGGTATAAATTCCCCAGAAGGAGCAGGGGCTACTCTTGTTGCAAGTTTCCTTGAGACTTCTTAAACAGGGAGATGGATACACACTTCTTTTGTGCCACTTTGGGTGCAAGAGATGGCCCAGGATATGAAGTTTTAATTCTGATATACTAGAACTTCAGGACTACTGTGACAGTCTGGGGCTTGGGGGGATAACAGAGCAGACCCTTCAAGGCCGGGACCGCCGGGACACTACATGACGTAGGATAACATCGTGTACCATCCCGTGCCAGACCCACAGACCCAGTTAGACCCTCAGGACACTGAACGCAAGTTCATGGTGGGTGGTATTGCACACATTGGGCCCCATGGAGCTGTAGTCAGGGTACCCCACCCTCCTCTTCTCTGTGCTCCCCACAGCCCACCAAACCATGAAGCAGGAATTCCCTCTGAAGTGTAATCGGGAATTCTCCTGCCTTTCTCCCCAACCTCACACTATCCTCCCCACTTCCAGCCCACAGTGCGAGAGTGATGGAGCTGCCAGGCGTCCAATGCCTACTGGTGCGTGATGGTCTAGTGGGCAGGACAAATGGCCAACCATCCAATCCTGAGCACACATACGGTGTCTCTTCCCTTCTTGGGCTTATGGTTCTCAGTCCTGGGGCCACATCTTATAGCCGACTGGCTAAGCACCCGGACTCTAGCCTGGCTCTTCTATGAGGGTCCCTACATCAGGATGGGGGTGGAAAGTAGAAGGAGGGGAGGCCTAGTATGGACTCCGGCCCAAGTCAAATTCTCCACTCCAACACCGTTGGTAAAACAGCTGATGGTGGGTTCCCTGTTGGAGTCCTGTGTCTCTTTCTCGCTCAGCTTAGGATCTGGATGGGAGAGTGCTGGGATTGCCATGTTCATCCCACGAGGACCCGTCAAACGATAACCAGGGGAACACCCACAGCCATGTCCAAGCAAACGTGGTCCTGGGTCCCATCCCCAGGGCCAGGCATGCCCACCACCGTAAAAGCACAAACAGCCCCCCAAACACAGCAGACACAGATGCCCCGGGGGCTCAGATCCGGTTCACCCCCAGACAGACAGACCTGAATGAGCTCTGCAGCTGGCTTCCTTCTTTTCTCAAAGTGCTTCTGCCGATGCTGTTCCTGCACCTTGAGAGCCAGCCCGGACCCCAGGATGCCCTGGAGGGAGAAGCCAGGCCTGGGTCAGCCCTGCTGGCCTCTCTGGGTGCCCCGCCCCCACCCCCAGGGCCACAAGGATCCTTCTCCTCTTCCAGGCAGGAGGTTGCCAGGTTACGTGGAGCCTTGCTTTTTAGGAAGGCTTGGCTTGGCTTCGGCTCCTGACTCTGCCCCTTTCTAAAGGCAAGACCCCAGGCAAGGCTCTTCTCCAACCTCACCTCAACTTCCTCCACAGGGAAGTGGGGTAATTATATCTTTTTCATAATTTCATTAAGCAAAAAGTGAAATCATGTATAGGAGCCGTTTCATAAGAAGTACGACACAGAACAGATGCCCGGTAAATGCTAACGGAATGTAAAACTATTTTAGATGCTTAGATGGTCCATTAAGACTTGTACTGGAGGGATACCAGGCTCAGAGGTTGAGCATCTGCCCTCAGGTCAGGTCGCGATCCCAGAGTCCTGGGATCGAGTCCCCCATTGGGCTCCCCACAGGGAGTCTGCTTCTCCCTCTGCCTGTGTCTCTGCCTCTCCCTATGTGTCTCTCATGAATAAATAATTAAAATCTTAAAAAAAAAAGCTACTTGTACTAGAATTTCCCCAAATTGTGACCTGTTTTGACTGCCAGGTCTGAATTGCATGTGGATTGCATGGCTGGTAGTACGTCCCCTTTTCAAGTTGGGAGAGAGCCTTGAGGCCATGCAGCAGCCCCACGCCCCCCAACCCGTTCCAGATGAGGAAACTGAGATCCACAGGGTCACATGCCAGGTCAGCGAGCTTAGGAAACACAGAGAAGGGAGGAAGACTATCACTAAGAATAGGTTTGGGGGACGCAGAGGGTAGAAGCAGGCTTGCTCTATGAGAAGGTTCTTTGCGGCTTCGTGATTAAGAGCCAGAACCCGCAGCCCCATAGCCCTGAGGACTATGGAAACTTGTGACTGTGGAAACCTGACAGGCCTGAGCCTCCGTTTTCTCATCTGGAAGGTGGTGATAAAAACCTCCCAAACTCACAATGTTGTCACAACATGAGATGAAATGAGACGATGTAGGGAAAGCATTTGGCACGATTCCAGCACAGAGTACAACCAACGAGCACTGTCTGCGATTGCTGTGAATATTACACTTACGGACTCTGGGCTTTGAGGAGGTTATTCTATCAGGGTCAAGTACTCACTATGGAGGGGGAGGCATCTTTTTAGACAAGCCAGGAAATGAAATGGGAGGACAAGCTCATATAGACGAAGGAACCCCCATATGCAAGGTGCTGGGGAGACATGCTGGGAAACATAAGCCTAAGCTCACAGTTGGGGGTGGAGGGCAATGGGGACTTAGGGGCGGGGTGTCAGAAATGCCTTTACAGAATTGTGCCCAGAGGAGGGGGCAACTCATTCAGCTTCTCTGAGACTGGAATTCGGAGCAGCCCAGCCTATGGGACTGAGCGTGAGATGGGGTGGATGATGAGCCTGGCAGGGGCAGTGGGGCCGGGCAGGGAGGGGTCCCACATGTCCCACCAGGGAGACAATCAGGGTACTTACTGCTGGAAGGGCAAAAAAGGAGACGCCGATTAAGGAGAAGGTGGCTGCAATCAGGCGGCCTTCCCATGTTTTGGGCGTCTTGTCTCCATAGCCGATGGTGGCCAGTGTGATCTGGAGAGAGAAGAGGTCACATGTCTTAACGAGGAGAGGGATCCAGGGATGTGTCAGGCAAGCTCTACCCATAAACCTTTCCTATTGCTTGGGGATGTGTTTCCCATGGAGCAAAGGTACCAGTGCCAGGTAATTATATGGGAGCCTTGAGACCACCGCTGTTCCTAACTTAAGGATTTTCTACCGAGAGGCAATCAGCCAACAGCGTTTTCCAATAACTGCAAATGTGTGCATGTGCCTTCCTGGAGTGTTTACAGCTGTGTGATTTTGTGTATTGCCACATTTCCCAATGTATGCATGCTCTGGAGTGTGTTCGTATGTATCATGTGCGTATGTGTGCATGTCTCATATCTGCTTATGGGTCTGTGCTAATGTGCGTTGTACATTCCTGGGTATGTTCACAAGTGTAGGTCCCTGGGCACACATACCTATGAATGGACGGGGCAGGACTGCAGAGCAGTTAAGAGCATGGCCTCTGGAGGCCATGAGTTCAAATCCCAGGTCAATCAATAACAGGCTCAGAGATCTTTCTTGGATTAGTTATATACCTAACCACTTCATGCCCTAGTTCTCCCTGCCTTAAAAAAATGGGCCAAAAATAGGAGTTGTTTGAATTTAAACTATGCTTATACATGTAAGATGTTTAGAGCAATGCTCTGGAGCAAAGCCTTAAAAACAATGCTAGCTTTAGTACCACCTGTCCCTCTGGGTGTGGGGCCATGGGTCTCCAGGTAGGTCTGAAGGTCTGAGGACACGTGGATGCATCTGGGCTGTTTCTATCTGCACATGCACGGCTTAGCTGATAAGAGCCTACAACTAATAAAGTGAGGTCCCTGAGTGGTGATGGGACCAGACTGTTCTCAGCCCTGACTTCCTATAAGCACTAAGGAAAAACCATCTGTGAATGCATTCTCTGCCTTCCAGGTCTCTCTGTCTCCTGATCAGGCCCTGTGGCGGGCCTTCAAGACAGTGACTCACCAGGCCCCACCAAAGGGCATCTGCATAGGTCTCAAATTCCTCCTTCGTCTCTTCTCCTTGTGCATCAACCTCTGGCACATCTTTCTCAACCAGGTAGACAAGAAATGAAGAAAGGATGAGCGTCAGGAACCCAATGTACCAGGCGGTGATGAGCTCCTGGGAGAGTAAGCAGTGGACAAGGGAAGTGGTCACTGGGAAATCTCTGGACGGAGGCTGGAGGCAGACACACTGGAGTTGGGGTCCGGGTTTACCAGATCCATGAATGTGGGCAAGTTACTCACCTTCTCCGAGCCTTACGTCCCATCACTGTGAGATAGAATCAGTCATATGGCCATTCTTTGCTTTTTCTTTTTTTTCTTTTTTTTTTTTTAACAATTGGTGAATAGTTGACACAGAACGTTATATGAGTTCCAGGTGTACAACATGGTGATTCCACAAATTTCCACATTATACTAGGCTCACTGCAAGTGTAGCTACCACCTGTCCCAATATAGTGCCAGTACCATACCACCATATCCTTTATGCTGTGTCTTTTATTCCCATGATTTATTCATTCCATATCTCCCACTCCCCTTTACCCATTGTGTCCAACCCTCCATGCCCTTTCCTCTGGCAACCATCAGCTTGTTCTTTGTATTTATATGTCTGTTTCTGATTTTTGCTTGTTTACTCATTTGTTGCTTGTTGTTTTTAGATTCACCTAGGAGTGAAGTCATGTGGCATTTGTCTCTCTGTCTAGACTTATTTCATTTGGCGTAATACCCTCTAGGTCCATCCATATTCTCACACATGGCAGGATCTCAACCTTTTTTATGGCTGTGTAATATTCCACTGTGTATATACACTACATTTTCCTTATCCATCTGTCTACTGATAGATAATTAGGTTGCCTCCATATTTTGGGTATTATAAATAATGCTGCAATAAACATTGGGGTGCATGTATCTTTTTGAATTAGTATTTTTGTTTTCTTTGCATAAAGACCCAGTAGTGGAATTATTGGATCATATGGTATTTCTGGTTTCAATTTTTTACCATATTTTATTCTATTTTCGTTTCAATGTTTTGAGGCACCTCCAGAGGGTTTTTCACAGTGGCTGCACCCGATTTACATCCCCAGCAATAGCGCACGAATGTTCCCTTTTCTCCATATCCTCGCCAGTCCTAGTTGTTTCCTGTCTTTGTGATAATAATACAGGCCTTATTTCCATCACTGATAGAATGAGTGTATGGCTCGAGGAAGAGAGGACAATTTCTGTCTTTGGGTGACCTTGATATCGCAGCTCAAGAGCCTTCACAGGGAGGCAGGGAGGCAGGTGAAATAAATGGGCCCTTCCTGACAAGGCACAGGCCTCCAGAGACTCGATTCAGCTCAGGGCTGGGCAGATCTAGGAAAAGCTCAGCAGTACTCAGAAACCAGCAACAGGGAGAGCTAGTGAGGCACAGTGATTTCCTCTGTGACCCAGGGCACGTTAGCCCCCTCCCCAGCTTCAGTTTCTTTATTTTTAAAATGAAGGGACTGGGTCACAGTTCTAGAAACTGACCCGTGTACTCCTGATGGAAGGCAAGTAGGCAGTTTTTATGCTAAATAATTACATACTGATTTAAAGTATATTAAAAATCAGCATAAATTAAAATGAGCACAAAATCTTTTGTTTCGTGGATCTTATCACACCATCGATAAGGACGTGTGAGTTCATGCACAAGAGAGGTATGATTCAGAGAAAAATGCTAAGGAATAGTGAGGATGGTGCAGGACCATGACAAAGATCCGCAAATCACCCACGTCTCAAACACCCTGACCCAGACAATCCCTAAGGCTCTTTCTGTTTCTCTCATTCTGTTCTAATTTCAAAATTCAGCACGGTAGGTTGGACAGAAGCAAGTCAAGGTTATCGGCGAACACCTTGTTTGGAGAGGAGGGCTGGTGCTCCTACTAAGTCATCATCCCAGGGAACAAAGTTGTTTGTATCCATATACTCCCATCTATCGGAATGTCGATGGCCACGCAACCCAGCTTCTGGGGCAGTACAGCCTCCGGCTTGCTTCCTGCCTTCCTCCATGCCTTTGCTCACACTGGCTTCTCTCCATGCCTTTCCCCATGGGGCCAACCGAAGTGCAGCAGGTCATCTTGAGACTCAAGTCACCTCCATTTCGAAAGGTTTCCATATATTTGCTTGTTCCAGGGGATCAAGTTCAGCTCTAGTTCCTTTATGCTTTTACTACTTCCTGAATGGACTTTCTCTAAATCTCTGACACTTATTTTTTATTTTTTTTAAAGATTTTATTTATTTATTTGACAGAGAGAGAGAGAGAGAGAGCTCACACAAGCAGGGGGAGCAGCAGACAGAGGGAGAGGGAGAAGCAGAGTCCCTCTGAGCAGGGATCCCAACGTGGGGCTCAAACCTAGGACCCCAGGATCATGACTTGAGCCAAAGGCAGATGCTTAACCAACTGAGCCACCCAGGAGCCCCTCTAACACTTATTATGCCCACTGCCCAGGTCTGGCTTGCCCCACACCATCACACCCATTCATGTGAGTTCATTTACAGCCCAGAGAGGTTTGTTCATGGCACAGCAATCCAGCCAGCCATTCTCTTCGGCACATGTCCGCCCTGCCCAGGGTTTGAGAAGACAAAGGTGAATTGGATAAGTCCTTCCCCTGTGGCCGTCTGGGCCTCGAGCCTTTCACCTCATTGAGTGTGGCTCTAGCGTTCCTATGGTTTTTCACACCCTCTGGCCCCAAAAGGTTCATCTGGTGCTTAGCTAGGGAAATTGCTGTCTGTTCATGAACGTGCAGAAAAACTGGTTGTGTTGGATCATTAAGAAGTCGCATAACGGTCAATGACGAGGAGTGAAAATGTGTCCCAATTCTGTGCTTTGCAGTCATTTCAAAGGCTATTCAAGGCAATCCTGACTTTACATAATTTTGGCCAGCAGCTCTTGGCAGAGCCTGTGGCTGGTCCCCTATACCCACACCCTCCTGCAGGCACCGGAGCTGCCCTGCAGTCAGACCGGGGAGGGGGTGGGGTGGGGGGTAGAGCCAGTGTGGGTGAAAGCTGGCTGCAACTTCCTGCTTGTTCCTTAAATCCATTCTGCAGGGTCTTCCAGACCCCTTTCCCGCTGCCTCGATGACTCCAAGCTCATTTTTAAGACAGATGAGGGCCACCTAGCCCATGTCCGACACCACATGCGTGAGAAGACTTCAACGTTTTTGTGCTAAGTCGCGGAGACTCCAGGGCTTCTTTGTTCTGGCAGCACAGCCCGGCCTTATCATGACTGCAAAGCTCTAACCCTGTGTGACACAGGCCTCCCACTCTGCATCGCTGACTCCCAGGAGAGTCCATCGTGGAATGTGGCCCAGAATGAATGGATGAAGAAGTAAAGTGCTAAGTACCCGTTCACCAGGCTTAAGGAAGGAACTGGTCTAAGCTATTGTAGTTAATAAACGGGGAAGCTGGACTCAAACCCAGGAATGTGCTCACCTCTTAAACACACTGCCTACCCTGGAGGTGAAGGCTCCAGCACTTACTCTCCATCCCAGGGATGCGACCCCCTGAAGCTACCCTCCGGGATGGCAGGTCGTTCTCAGGCCCATAGGGGTTAGGGCTGCCCCAGTCCTGGCCAGGCAGATGCCCTACAGCTTAGGAACAGCACAAGGCTAAGAATGGGGGTGTCTGAAGAGACAAGAATGGCAGGTAGAGCTGGACCAGCAGCTGCTTTTCCTGCCTCTGGTCTCCTACCATAGAGACGTCATTGTGTCTCGCAGTTCTTCCCACCTGACCTCAGTTGGAGGGTCTGGTGGTGGCGTGGACATATCTCTTCCCAGGAATCACCCGGCACATATGCAACTGTTTTCTAATCTGATCTAAGGGAACACAGGACAGGGACCGAAACCAGCCATTGTCAGCCCTGATTTCTACGAGAGCCATGAATCAGTTCAGCTCCATGGATAAAAGGTCAGGTGCTGCTAGCATGATCCCTGGTAAGAGAGGGGAAGGTCAGGTGGAGACTGGGATCGGAGGCTGCACAGATAAAATAAAACACCTCCATCCTGAGGCAAAGGAGTCCACGGGCTTTACATTTTATTTATGTATTTATTTGTACCGTTTGTGAAGAGAAGCGTATCTGGAATAATAAACGTCGTCATTAACAAGCACCTACTATTTACTGGGTGCTTCAATGTACCTCTTCTCGGGCAAGCAGCCAGAAGGATCCTCATTGTAAGTGTCGAGGCAGCTCAGAAACATAGAGCATATTCTAAGTCTTTTTACTCTAGGAGGTGAGCCACTTCTCACCCTTATTTTATAAATGCAGGAGGAGCCAAGGCCCAGTGGGGTTACAGAAAATCCCCAGAGTCACACCAATAGAGTTTGGACTCCCACCAGGCTGGGTGAGTGCTGAACCTTTCCCTCCCCTCCTAGGCCACCTTATGTTGGCTCATTGGGCCCCCTCAACAACCCGGAGCAGAGTCATGATTCTCCATAGTCTGGAAATGAGGAAACCGAGGCTCCAGGACAGCTGAGTGGCTTGGCCACCGTCATCGGCATGTGGTGCAGCAAAGACTTGAACCCAGGTCCGCCTGCTTCTGCTCTCTGCGGCACCTGCTCGTGCCCCTCCTCTCCCTCCTCCTCCACTTCCTCCTCAGCATCACCAGTGGGGACAGAGCACCCGCCCTCTGGGGAACTGTAAGGGAAGGGATGCCCCGAAAGGCTCAGGTTGGGGAGAAGCCCACGCAGCCTCACGGCTTCCCTGCGGCACTTACTTTGCTGTGGGCACAGATGGCCGAGCCCAGAAGCTTCCACGTGCCTCCCCGGCGGTCCATCCGCAGCATCCGCAGGATCTGCAGGAAGCGCAGGCTCCGCAGGGAGGTGGCCAGCACATTGCCCTGGTTTCCCACGGCAACCACGGGCACAGAGGCGATTAGCACAAAGATGTCTGGGGAGGAGGACAGAGAGGTGGAGGGGGGAGAAGGAAAAGGTCAGGTCAGGCAGTGGCAGTGGGGCCGTCCTAGGCACTGGCTGCCCACCCACGAACGCCTGCCAAGCACCCTGTGCTAGATGGGAGCTGGGACCTTTGCCCGTCGGCTCCCGTCCCCTGCTGGTGGAGGAGGGTCTCTGGGGTTGTTGACGCCCCAGACTTCTGAGCTGCACTGTTGGGTGGCCTCCCTCAGCTTCAGGGAAGGCCCTGGAGTTGATCGTGGTAAAACGTGAGGCCCACCCATGAAGTGGGATGACTGTCCAGATGTGAAAATGTCCACCACCCCCCCAGCTGTGAGTGAAAGCAGAGGAGCAGACGGGGTGATGGGCTTCTGGAATGGGCCCAGCTGGCTTCTGAAGCCAATAGCCAAAGATAGAGGAGTGTGCCCTGGTCGCTTCAGATTCCCTACAGCAGCCCCAACACCCATACCAATCATCTCTCCGCCACACTGCCGAGGGTCAGCAGGTAAAAGGGACCCCATAGCCAAGTAAATGTGGGGAAAAATTGATTAAGCACGTTTTGTTACTTCTAGGAACCTTCAAGATGCTAATATGGACTGTGGCTCTCTGTTACACACAAGAAGTACAGCCTTTCCCCCAAAGATTTCGGTCGTAGGACTACTTTCCACAAGAGCATCAGGTTCTAAGGAAGACACTGGAAGAAATGTTTGTCCACTGGGTAAAGTCCAAGCTCCTGAAAACCCTGTGACCTGGCCCTTAGGGGCTTCTCAGAAGCAGGTGCGGTTTGCCGAGCGCACAGGGCTCTCTCAGACCTCCATACTTTTGTGTGTGTTGGTGCCTCGGCTTGGAACAGGCCCCTCAACTCACACCTAGGTGTGTGTGCCATATCATGGTGTCCCTGAGATGCGCCTAACTTTCGGGAAAAGCTCAGTGTCAAACAGCTGGATACCAGTATGTCTGCATCCTCGGCCAGGCCTCTCTGTATCTGTGCAAAGTTATCCACTCACAATGTTTGTAGAAAACAAGACAAAACAAAACCTGGATGTGGAGTGAATGTGAGCCAAGTCTATGAGGCTCAGAGAGAAGGGGAGAGTCTGGCCCACATGGGCCCATTCATGCCCCAAATGGCAGGGTCTGAGGCTGCCTCAGAGATGAAGGCCACCATGTTCTCTGACAGGATGACCACCCTCATGTCGAACATGCAGCGAAGAGCAATGCTTCCCACAAGGGCCATGTTACAGGAGAAGTCGAGAGGAGGAGAGCAGAAAATACAGGCACCCAAGAAAGAAAGGCAGCCAGGATGGTTAATGCTGAGGATTGGCCTCGACTCTCTGGGGGAGGCTGGCCTCAGCTCTCGAGGGGAGGCTGGCAGCGGAGCATGATGGGGAGCTCGGTCAAATCAGCCCCTCTTGGAGCACAGACTACTCCACGGGGAATGCTCTTGTTCTGGAAGATTCCAGGCTCCACACAACACTAGGATGTTCTCAGACTGGGTGAGAACCTCTGAATTTGGGCACAGAGTCACCTTCCCTACCCCCTGCCACATGCACACACACATACACACACACACACACACACACACAGCTTCTGGTCAGCACTGAATAGGACTCTCCAAAGGAGAAGAAGAAGTCAGCTTAACATCTTGCAAAAGATTTGAAAGGAAGACAGAAGAAGAAAGGAAGGCAAGCCAGGGTTGCTATGGGCTGAATGCTCGTGTCCTGCCAAAATTCAGTTGCTGAGATCCTGGTCCCCAGTGGGATGGGCTTAGGAGGCAGGGCCTCGGGGAAGTGATGAGGTCATGAGGGTGGAGCCCTCAGGAATGGGATCAGGGCCCTGATGGCAGTTTCCTGAGGGCTCCTTCTCCCCTTCCATGGTGTGAGGACACAGCCAGGAGTCCTAGAAGTGGTCAGTCTATGGCCCATAGAGGGACTTGACCAGGGCCCGGCACCCTGAGCTTGGACTTCGGGCCTCCAGAACTGTGAGAAATGCAATTCTCTTGTTCATAAGAGAGACTGGGGAGCCCGTGGCACTGTGACAGTTGCCTGAATGGACTCTTAGTCCAGGAGCAGAAAGGGAAGGAGGAGAAAGAAAGAGAGAAGGTTAAAAAATTACAAAAAAAAAAAATCAGTAACTACAAAGTCCTTCAAAATTGTGTGCATGCACACACACACACACACACACACACACACACAGCCTCTCCTTGCATTAAACATTCTGAGTGATAAACAAAACCCTCAGGTGTCCAACCTCAGCAGCAGGTGGGAAGAAGGAAGAGCGGTTTCTGTCGGCTGCGAGGTGGTGCAGTCACCGTGCAGTCGGTGCAGTCACCGTGCCGAGGTGGTGCAGTCACCTGCACTGTAGGTGCAGTCAACCTACAAGCAAAGGCAGGGCAACCCTGGTTGTGCAGAGAGGAGTGCTGCCGCCAGGACAGAGGAGGGTTCCAGCTCTTCTTACCCGGGCTGGCCATCCATACATACTCAAAGGGCTGCGTTCAGTCCTGGGGGTCACTTTTTAAAAGGGCAGTGAGCGCACTCAGAGAAGAGCAAGTACGATGCTGAGAACACATGGAACAAGGTATAGCTGAAGCCACTCAGCCCGTTTCTCCACCGCTGGAGTGGAGACGGGAAATAGAATGGCTGAACTCAAATATCTGAAGAAAGTCGGAAGACTTAGGATGAAATAAATATGTTGGAAGGTGGTGAGCGCCCCGGGGCTGGAGGTATGCAAGCAGGTGACCGCTTGAAGGCTGCTATGAAGGAGACGGGAGCTTCAGATGGAAACACCCGGGTTTCCATCACCCGAGCAACTCTGGTTCAAGACCCAGCCACGTGGTAGGGAGGGTGGGGTCACAGGTGCCTGTTTCTCCTAGACCTGGTGTTAGGATGGAATCTGCTGCTTCCTACCCAGGTGACTGGAAAATGACTCAGCGCCGCGAGCCTTGGGGTGCCCCTCCGAAAAATGGGCATGACGTGGGCCATAGAGAAGTAATCCTCAACTAGCAGTGGTGTCACCCCTCCCAGCCCCACTACAGCCAGTGTGGACGGGTGTAGGCAATTTTAGTTGTCACGATGACTGGCGGCTACGGGTCTAGGGCCTGGGGATTGCTCTGCGTCCTACAAAGAGCTGCTCCTTCACAGCCCAAGTGCCAAGAATGCCCCTTCCTCCCCCACCCACTTGGAATCACCGCCCTATAGAACCATTAAGAGGGTGAGCTGCAGAAGAAGGACTGGAGCAGCTCTTCCTCACCGAGGTAGGGTCGGAGGCTGCAGGGGCTTTCACAACCCCACGGGCTCCCCAGAAGAACGGTGGAAACCTAAAATGTCCTCAGCCAAATGGTGCACCAAAACAGGGGGCAGTGGCTAGGGGGGACCAGGGCTCCCCCTGACCCGGGGTCAGGGCTTACCGAGCATGCACAGGGGCTTCCTGGCAAACTTCAGCCTTCCCCGCCAGCCTTTGTAGCGGCAGCAACATCCGGCAGCCCAGATCCTCAAAGCAAACTCCGCTCCAAAGATGAAAATAGCAAATGTTTCCTGCATTAAGAACATATGGAGAGACACGGATCAACCGGGAACCCAGTTGTCTGGGACCAGCGATTTCTGCTCTGAGGTTCTGAAGAGCGGGGTTTCTGTTGCTGTTGCTGTTTTGGTGGTGGAGCGAGGACGCTCTCAGCACCTCCTGCAGCCTCGGACAGCTCCCGCGTCCATGCTCATGTGCCAACGGTCCCTAATACCAGCCTTGCCAAAAGATTCCTTGCTTTTTCTCTTTGCTTTGATGCCAATGGATTTTTTTTTTAAGTCTACTCTCATGGACGAAAAGCCTCTACGTGCAGTTAAAGCGAAAAGGGAAGTATCAATGAAACACAGGCTGCTAGTCCCACCCAGTGCCTGGCCCCTGGTATTGCTAATTAGGGCCAATGGTTACTTAGCTCAGCTCCTGGGCCGGGCACCCCGTGTAGCATTTTATATTATTCTCATTTTATGTTTTGAGAAACCAAGGCAGGGAGTAGTTAAACCAATTTCTCCAGAGTAGGACGTGGCAAAGAAGGACTCCCAAGGACCCCCAGAAGGACTGGTAACAAGGCTCAGAGCCCACGTGCATCTGCTCCATGCTGGGCTGGCTCCCTGGACCTGGGGTCTCCTCCTTCCCTCCTGCCTCTCTTGTCAGTCTTGGACACCTTTGTCCCCCTCTCTTTGGTGACCTCCTGAGACCTCTGGGGAGTTGCTGCTCCATGATAATCCCTGAAACCTAGCTCCTGGAGCTAGATGGCTTCTCAGGATTCACCTGCTAAGGTGTTAGCATGAGACCCTGGAGACCGGAAACACCTGCCCTCAGAAGGCATTTGCTGAATCTGGCATCACGGATGACAGGCAAGGGGAAGGTTCTGCTATTTTGTAGACCCTAATGGTGGCTGGCAGAGATAAAACAAGCAGAGGCTCCAGGAGTGGGGATGTGGAGTTTTAATGCACAAATGGGATTTGCTACTTGGCCTTGAAGGGAGTCCAAGATCCTCAGGATTTAGGGAGAAAAGGCAGAGGCAGTTTCCAGCACAGAGCATGCCTTCATGTTAACGTTCAGAGGACTGAGAAGCTGAGGTTTCCAACATACGTGCATTGCTTTTTGCTTTGACCTTGTTTGTACCCTCCTGTCTTAGGTCTAGAATAATGAAGGCCATACCCTTCCCACCCGAGCCCATGGCAGATCTGACCGATTCATCCAGGCATTGCTTTCTCTTGGGTCTGGACTTGGCCAGAGACTCCAGGAAGCCAACACCAGTGGCACCCAAGGGCAGCCTCCTTGTTCTCAACTGTCAAAGTCCAACCAGAGGCACCTGCACCTCAGGAACAGCACCACGGTGGGTGCACAGTCTCACCAGTAACAGCAGCCAGTCTCCCGAAACAGTCTCGTACTCCCTGAACGTGGTCAGCACGGCCAGAATCAAGCATCCCAGGACAATGAGGAACCTGGAGGGAAGGAAGGAGGAAGCATGGAGTCCTGGCTGGCTCCAGAGATAGGCGTCAACCGGGATGAAGCTCCAACTTCCATCAGACATCAGCATGTGCTTTACTGGTCAGCCCACTTAACTGCATGACAAATCTATGAGGCCCGTAGGAATTATTCTTCCCATTCAAGAAAGCAGATCTGAGGAAGGGTAAGCAATGTGTACGCTTCTGCTTTACCAGCTAGTTAGTGGAACCAGCTGGGGAGCTGCAGACACCTTCCAGACCAAGTTATCCCAAGCTTTGGTCAAGCATCAGGAATGTAAATAAATCAATGGAGTGTCTTGCACACAGAGGACAGTGATTCTTCAAACATATGAGAAACACTCTTGAAACAAATTCGTTCCAAAGCTTGATAAACTCCGCAAGAGCCTCTGCAGCGATGGCTTGGTATTATTCCTTCCACAGTCAGTGGTTACTAGAGGAAATGAGCTCTTTCATCTGGGGCCCTTCAGAATTGTTTTTGAAATTACAAAGTGTTCTTCATACTACAAACAATAGTATTGTAGTATGCTACGGACCCGCCGCAGTGATGGACGCAGAATGCTGGTCCTGGAAAAGTCACAGGGAGGTCATATGGCTCATGCCCCTGCCTCAGGCTAGGAGCAAACTGCAAATGATCCTTTGAGATTCTTATCTACATAAATGCAGCTGGCTGGGAGGATAGGGAGAGGGAGAGCCTGTAGTGCATGTGTGCTCATGCGTGTGCATGCTTCATCCTATCAGCAAAGAACAATGGCTCTCCCTCCCTCTCCATGAAGAGTCTCTGGTTCAAGGCCCAGCACCAGGCTCCCTAGGGTTCATGGGTGAGGCTTGGAACAACATACTCCAAGTCCTTCTGCTCTATGAGATCTGGCTCTCCAGCCTGCTGGATCCCACCCCACGCTTTGCTGGCTTGCTTGTGTAAGTGGGTATCCACGTGTGTGTTCATTCATTCACTCACTCATTCATTCCTTCCATATTTATATGGCAGGCACTGGGGACACAGAGTTGGGATTCCCTGATGAATAGGCTGGATCTGTCCTCATGAGCTCACAGTCCAGCCAAACACAAAGCTATCTCATGCCATGATGGTTACCACCATGATGTAAGGAGGTTTGGAAATGTCTGCTCCTGGCTTTGGCTGGGGATCCGAGTCCTGGCTCTGACCCGTGGTGATCCTGATCACATTTTCTGATCAATAATAAGCCTGCTGATCTGTAGACTGAATCGATATTTTTAACCTTGTCTAGGAATCTGAACCAGAATTTCAATTCCCCATTGTGTTTGGCCATCTTACTTCAATTAATGACTCCGGACCCATGCCTGGAATCTGCCTACCCCGCATCCCAAATCTTCTCAGGTGGCGATGACGATGATGGTGATGATGGTGGTAACAACATCAACTTCCACACCACCTGTTAGTGTGCACCTACCTCTGGTCACTTTACATCTATCCGCTCATCCTCACAACTAGTTCCCAGGGTAGACATGAACTTTTTGGAGATGAAGAAATTCATCAGAAGGATTCACTGCCATCTGGATAACTGTGTTGTCAGTTAAAAAGACCACAGAGTGTGGAGTCCAAAGATACAGGATCAAAGGGTACTTTCTATGTGATCTTGAGTAGCTCATTGACCTTGGGAACCCCAATGATCACACTCATAGAATGGGAATAATGGGTCAGCCGGGAGATCATGGCTATTGTGAAGACCATAGGAGATAATGGATGGGGAGTCGTTTGGTCAACTGTACAGGATCATGCAGATGATGCCTGGTGCTGTCCCATTCCACACACTCATTACTGGCTGGTTCCCCAGCAGGCCATGGGAACTGGGCTCTTGAATGATTCTGCAAATCCACATTCGGTCAAAACTTCATTTTATTCATTCGTAGGCTCTGGAGATATAAACCCTAGATTATAATTCCCTTCCTCCTCTTGTGCTGTGTCATCTTAAGCAAGTTACACAGCCTCTCAGTGTCTTGGCTTCCTTGTCTAGAAAACAATCATTCAGTGATTCAATACTCTGTGTCGGGTGCTTAGAAGAGTGCCTTCACTAAGTGTCAGTGATTATTTTATTTTGATTTGATATCAATGTATCGAGTGCCTCTTGTATCCCAGGCAGAGTCCTGGTTTTAAGGATACAAACATGAATAAAACTTAGCCCTCATTTTCAAGGATGTCCTAGTGCAGTACAGATAATGATCTGAGTGTCCACCACATGCTCTGGGAGTACGAGGTTGAAAGCATCCAAGAGGCTGTAGCCAAGGGGTTGGAAGTATATTTGAGGCTTGGCTGGAGCTGACTGCCATGTCTCAGTTTACCCAGGACATTCCCCCATTTTATGCGTGTTGACCTGGAGTATGCCCCCCGAGGCATCGTGAACGACATGTGCACATGCAGAGAGTGTGAAAATTTACAGACACAAAACCTGGCTCAACCTTCTCCTTTAGCCTGGGATGTGGGCCTCTGATGATCTGGCCTCGCTGTCCTCACAGCCTTATCTTCTGCTGCTTCGCCACTCCCAGGCCAGTCATCCTGAATGAAGGCATTTCCTCTGACCCCCTGAGCCTATGTGTGCCTGTCTCAGTGCTCTTCCCTGCCCACTGCTCCCCACCACTCCCCCCCCCCCGATTCTCCTGCTGATGCTTTGGCAGCACCAGTCATGACTTGCCCCCGGAGACTTCCATGACCTCGGCTGCTCTCTGCATGTTCCCCGGTGTGTCCTCTCCCCTGGGGTCACAGAGCACCACCTGCATTTCTATTCTGGTATTGATCATAACCCATTATCATTTTGTAATCTTTCACTTGCACTGTGTATTAATTAAAACATATTATATTAACCATGTTATGAACCTGCTGAGTTTGAGGTTCAAGTGGAAACATTCAGCAGGCTGATCAGAATTCGAGCCTAAAGCTTAGGGAAGAGGTTGGGGCTGGGGATCTAAGTTCCTTTCAGCTCTCGTAGTCTGTGATTTTATTTTTTATTTTTATTTTTATTTTTTAAATTTTTTATTGGAGTTCAATTTGCCAACATATAGCATAACACCCAGTGCTCATCCCATCAAGTGCCCCCCTTAGTGCCCGTCACCCAGTCTCACCCCCACTCCCCGCCCACCTCCCTTTCCTCCACCCCTTGTTCGTTTCCTAGAGTTAGGAGTCTCTCATGTTCTGTCTCCCTTTCTGGTATTTTTAGAGCCAGCAAAGGGGATCATTTGGCCCTAACCAGTAGCAAAATAAATGCAGTTTCAGCCTGATTCCCGGCGGTCCAGGGTTGCAGAACCAGATGGTAGCCAGCAGGTGGCAGCAAGTGCCCAGCGGAGCGCTGCATTTTCTCACATCTCAAGGAATTCAAAAGCAACCTGTAGCCTCAGGAATTTAACTTTCTGAGATTGCAGAACAACCATTAATTTACAAAGCTAAGAGCATCAAGGAGCCCTTCTTGATCGGGGAAGGGGAAAATGCTCTTTGGTCCTTCACACTTTTCAATATACTCTTAAGATATGCGCTTGAGTGAGTTTGAGCCCCATGTTAGGTGTAGAGATTGCTGAAATAAATACACTTACCAAAAAAAAAAAAAATTCTGTGATTGATAAGTGGTAGCAATAAAATCATTAATACTCAAAAAAAATATGCGCTTGATTTCAAACACACAGACCACGTGACCAGTCTCCCCATGGAAGCCAGATGAGTGTGGCTAACAGGGTCTTCCCTCCTCCCACTGCTTTGGCTTTCTCACTCCCCCGCGCTTCACCAAAGTTTCTTCTACATCCTCTGTCACTTTCTTAAAGTTTTCTATATTTTAATTCCAGTGCAGTTAACACACAGTATGATATTAGTTTCAGGTGTACAATATAGTGATTCAACACTTCCCTGCATCACCCCATGCTCATGAAGACAAGTGCATCCTTAACCCCCATCCCCTCACCCACCTCCACTCTGGTAACCATCAGTTTGTTCTCTATAGTTAAGAGTCTGTTTTGGGGTTTGGTTTTTTGTGGGGTTTTTTTTGTTTGTCTCTTTCTCTTTTCCTTTGTTTTGTTTCTTAAATTCCACATGAGTGAAATTATCTGACTTATTTTGCTGAGCATAATATTCTCTCTAGCTTCCTCCATGTCATTGCAAATGGCTAGATTCCATTCTTTTTATGGCTGAATAATATTCCATTGTGTGTACATATATACACATATATGCATAGTACATCTTCTTTATCTAGTCCTCTATCGATAGACACTAGGGCTGCTTCCATAGTTTGGCTATTGTGAATAATACTGTTATCAACATAGGGAGGGGTACATGTTTGAATTAGTGTTTTCATATTCTTTGGGCAAATACCCAACAGTGTGGCTGCTGGATCATAAGGTAGCTCTATTTTTAATTTTTTTGCGGAGCATCCACACTGTTTTCCACAGTGGGCTGCACCAGTTTGCTTTCCCATCAACAGTATAAGAGGGTTCTCCTTTCTCCACATTTTTGCTGATACCTGTCGTTTCCTGTGTTGTTGATTTCAGCCATGTCCCCCCTGTGATTCCGGCTCTGCAACTATGTGTGTCTCCTTCACCTGACTTTCCTTTGACTTCTCCTCCTCTCCCTCTCTCTCCTCCCTCTGCTCCTTGCCTGGGCCAGCAGGATGGGTCAGGGTTTGTGGTGGAAGTCTGGGGGAGAGCCAGCAGCTGTCTTCCTGTCTGCGGGGTACCTGGCTGTGTTGGCAAAGGAGGCTCATCGGGCTCAAAGATCTCAGACACGCCCTTGCCCTCCGATCACACACCACCTCCTACATGCTTCCACCCACATCCTCCTCTGTGTCTTCCATCCAGCCAGGGATGTGGAGGGTGGGGGAGGAGGCTGCTTTGGAGCTGTAATTGGTGTCTCAAGCATAGGGGTCCAGGCCTTTATGACACCAAACCTCTGCTGGGTCACAGGCAAATGTGACCGAGGAATCACAGGGGTACCCGGGATTCCCTGTGCCCCCTTCTCAGCCAGG